TGGGTAAATTACCAGGAGAAATAATGGATTGTCTGATTTATGAAGAAATGAACCCCTCCAAAAGGCCATGAGCTTCTGCTTTCTTCCAGATTTTCAAAAGAAAACCTCTGCTGGGGATGAGACCCAGCGCAATGTTCAGGCCATCCTTTACAGACACTGTCTGACCCCTTAGGAGCTGAAAATAAAGTGGTGGTGGGTACCCATAGGTGTGGGAAGGCTTTCTGCAGCCACCTGTTTTGCCTCCTGAAGCAGAGGATGGGATATTTTCCCATCTGTGCAGCACCAACAGAGGGGTGGCAGCAGGGCGAGGAAAGTGATTGCCCCCCTCTGCTCTGCTCTCGTTGGAAGCAACGTGCAGTATTGCATCCAGGCCTGGGGCCCCAGCATGAGAAAGATGTGGAACTGTTGGAGCAGGTCCAGAGGAGGCCATGAAGACGATAAGAGGGCTGGAGCACCTCTCTTATGAAGAAAGGTTGAGGGAACTGGGTATGTTCAACATCAAGAAGGGAAGGCTGAGAGGAGACCTCATTGCAGTCTTCCAGTACTTGAAAGGAGCTTGCAACCAGGAAGGTGAGCAAATTTTTACATGGTCTGATAGAGATAGAATAAGGGAGAGAGGCTTTAAACTAAAAGAGGAAAGATTTAGGTGAGATTCTTTACTCAGAGGTTGGTGTAACACTAGCACTGCTGCCCAGAGCTGCGGGTGCCCCATCCCTGGACATGAGCTGAAGGCCAGGTTGGATGGGGATCTGTGCAGACTGATCTGGTGGGGGGCAGCCAGCCCACAGTAGGGGTTAGGGTAGATGGGCTTTTAGGCCCTTTCCAACCCAAACCATTTGATGATTCTGTGATTCTCAGATATGCCTGCCTGCATCTGAGCTCACGGTGCTCGCGGGGGTGGGAAACGGTACACTACGTGATGCTCAGAGGACCGCACACAGGAGCTGCCACAGCCGTTTATCACCTCACCCACCACTTAGCTGCTGCTTGTAGTTAATTACGTCAGCTGTCGCTTGTAGAGAATCCTTTGAGATCCTTGGGCCCCTGGAAATCTTGGCTGATGAAAGGAAGGGCTCAGAGTCATAGCGTTAATTCATTATTCATTAACACCAAAGTGCCGGCAGTGCGGCGTGCTGTACGGGCAGCGGGCTCACAGTCAAATAGTTAGTGATCTGAAGTGACAATGTGTCACTTTGCAGAGAGCAGAGAGCAGCTCTCCTAAGGGAGACAGCTTCTGTCCAATTCTGCAACCATTCAGTGCCAAGCCCCTCTTTGGGATGAAAGTGAAGATGAGGAGGGCGATGAGGATGAGGAGGGCCTCAAGGAACCTTCCTGTCTTGGAGACAAGGGATGATCCCAGTTCCTCTCAGGGTCCCAGCAGTCTTCAAAGTGCATCTTGCAGGGGCCGTGTCCTCTGAACAGCAAAATCCAGGTCATAGAGGGGAAAATGTGAGCCGAGATGGGACAAATCTCCATCTTGCCATGGAGCTGCACTGCTGAGGAGGTGGTGGAAAGCAGCATGGAACCCCAAAATTCCCCCCACCTCTGCACCAGGCCCAGCTCTGCAGGATGATGAGGAGGGCAAAGTTCTGTCACAAGCATCGCTGACAATCATTATTTTGTTGTTGCTGCTCAATAAAATCCTGACACAATACAACACAATATCCTCTCATCATTACTAATCTAACTCTCCCTCCAGGAAATTCCAGGCAGAAAACAGTGTCTGCCGGCCGAGGTGCTTTATGGCACGGTTCCTTAGTGGTACCTCAGCACTCTGTGTCATAATCTGGTGACAGTGAATTTAGGAAATGCCATTCAATTACCCTGCGAACTGATTAACACATTGATGCAGTTATTTTGTTCTGCTCTATTTTATATCAGTTCTTCTGTTTTATGTATTTCTCTACTTGTTGCCGGCCAGAACACACGTCGGGCCAGTCTAGACTTTGCTGTTGATGCAGCTTTTCCCCAGGGCTTCATCAGCACAAATGGTTTGTCAGTGTGGGGAAAAATAAAATTACGCTTTAAAATAAAACCGCCTGGAGATGCTGTTTTGGGGTCTGGCTGTGTCACAGCTATTGCAGTGATGGAGCTGAGGGATTGGGATGTGCTGGGCCAGATCCTGAGCTCGTTGCTATAAGCCAAATAATTCCAGACACCCTTCTTCCCTGAGATATCATCTGTGCTTAAGCAGCAGGAGATATGCAGGCAGCGATCAGATAGCTGAGCTGCAAGGAGAAATATCACAAGAGCACGGCTTAGAGCAGGGGCTTTACTCGCTCTAAATTGAATTCCCATCCTCATAGGAGGTCCAGTCCTGCCCCCGTGTGCATCGCTCCAGTAACAGCAATGTGTTTTGCTCCATCCTGCAGTGGGTCCAGAAGCAGGGGAAGGAAATGTGTCGTGCGTTCGTCCCTGCAGCAGCGCAGCCCATAAAGCAGGGAAAATTAATGAAAATCTTTTTTAGGTCATGACAGATTATGGATTTCTTTGAGATAGAGAATCTCAAAAGCAGAGGAGAAGATTCTCAGAAAATAACACTGATGATGGCATGGTGCTGAGTTGGGAACTGGGGAGAATTTCCAGGGTTACAGGAAATTTACTGAAGCACAAGGGAATGCATCGTGTGACTGCCAGTGTTTTCCCTCTCATGTGGCTATAATCTTCTTGAATACAATTACCATCTTGGAACTTAAAATAGCTGAAAGAGTTTTATTTGATCTTTTCAGCAGATCTCACATCTTTAGAAAAAAAGGCTAGAAATAGTCCTCAAACTCACTTTACTGACCCACCATCATGAAACTCCAGCAGCACACAGGGATTTGGGCAGGTGTGTTCATCTTCCTCTTCCTATTTGCAACATGTGTATGGCATTTCCTGAAGCTCACTCCTCCAAATGCATTGAGACAGTTGTTTTTCATTCTTCCTAATGCCTGCGTCAACCCATCTGCTGATCAGCAATTATTTCTATCCCATTCCCTTCTGTTTCTTATTAATCAAGCTCTTTATGCAATCCCACGTAACACTTCACCCAGCTGCCCTGCCCTAACCGCTACCAATTATCTCATCCTGATTTATAGGCCCTGTAGTAAGGCTCTGTCCTTGCTCCTCTGCCTCTCTCTGATGGAGCTTTTGGTGCAGGGCTGGCTGGCTGGCTGTATTCTTAGGCATTCAGAGGATTAAAGGTCTCCCAGAAGGAGCTTATTAATCAAGGACAGGTGCTGGCCACACAGGAGGATGACACTGTTCTCCACCATATCCTAAAGCTCTCCAAGAAGGAGATGGAGCTCAGCCTGGGAGAACAGAGAAAAGCAGCACAGGTTTCAGGATCCAGGGCTGCCAGACCTGGATGGGGGGTCATAGGTTGAAGAAGGAACAGGTTGTGCTCCTGTAGCCTCTCTGCAGAAGCAGCAATGCTATCTCCCTAGCAAAGCTGTGCATGCCTCATCCCTGGGGTGCTCAGGACCATGTGGGATGGAGCCCTGGGCAGCCTGAGCTGGTGGGAGTAGCCAGCCCACAGCAGGGGTTGGAGCGGGCTGGGTTTTAAGCTCCCCTCCAACCTAAGCCATTCCTTGATCTCTGTTGATGGCTGGTGCAAAGTTTGAGGAAGCCTTATTTTCAGCTCAGGCATTCTTGTCCCTGGAAAAAACCAATATTAAAGCTTCAGTGATTACTGCTTGCCTTCCAAATATGCTTCTGATCAGTTCAAGAAATCTGACAGTCACGTCGCTCAGCATGCTAAGAATACAACAGAAACAGCTTTGAAAGGAACCCTTCAACTCTTGATATTTGTGAATGAGCTCCAAAGAACATTACTCATTTATTTTTCAGGAAAATGATTTCATTGACATGAACAGGCCAAAGCCTACAAGCTCTATTTTGTGACTGCAGCTCCTTACGCTTTCAGCTGCATTTTTATGATTTATGTGCCCATGCTAAGGCTTGAGCACCTCCCAGGATAATGAGAAAAACGGTTCTGGTTCCCCATTTAAAATGTAGGATGCCTTTAAGGCCACGTATGTGGATCAGGTTCCTTCTAAAGCATAAATGTGTTCCATTCCTCACTTCTCTTTCATTACAACCTTCAATCAAAAATGTGTTTTATGAGATATTTGTTTTGCCATATATCTGTGACAGTGTTGAACTACTTAGTGAAACCTCTGTTCTTCACTTAGCTGAAAGGTATGTTTTAGGGAACGCGATGCTGTAAATTTATTGTGGTGTAATAGAAGGGGGGATGTGTGGACTCATCTTCTGTTTGTTGTGGCTGCAATAGTTTTATGCATTACCCGAGCATTAAGCAAGATCTTTTCATCTGCACAGAACACCTCTTGTTTTCCAGTGAGATGAAAGAACGTTCAGCTTTAAGGTTTGCTATTCTCACTGTTTCTTAATCGGGTTCACATTGATTGCCAACAGATGAATAATTCCTCCTTCTACATGGACGTGCCTCTTAAACTTGTGAAGTCTTAGGTAACGCTTTTCTGTTGTGATGACTGTTTCAGTCCCCTCAGTGAGAAATCAAGTGCACCAGTGAAGTACAAAGGAGACTGTGGAGATATTCATTGTGCCCTCAGCATCTTCAAAAGACGCTGCTGCCTGCCAAGCCCCAGACTTCATTTCTGTAAAAGTGGAGGACGTTCAATTCTGCTGTGCCATAAAAGTCTTCTGGAGCCCAAACACGGCGTAGCGTGTGTAATGGAGCATGCACAAGCTCAAACGCTTTCAACAAATCAGCTTTTTTGCTTTGCCAACTTCCATACGTAATTTCACAACATCTAGTGTTGAGACAGTGCTGTTGTTTGGGCAGCATAAATCACTCACTGTACAGCAGGGCGCCTTTCTTAACAAGCTGGGTGTAGTTCACATTTTTGTCTAATTCCGCTGCACATCTCTCTAACAAACAACCACTCTTTAGGGCTCAACTCAATAATCAATACATTTTTTTTAGTTTACAGAGCAAATAATTACTTTAGCTGATGACTTCATAAGGTTAGAAGATGGATGTATAAAGTCTGGAGTGCGAAGGCAGAGAAATATCTCTGCTGACCTCAAGAGCAACAGGTCTGCAAGTAACAGGCTGCACAGCCATCTCTGCCGTGAAGGCAATGAGAGCTGCTGCCCTCCTTGGATTAGTGCTTCTCAGCTCCTTTCCTAGTAAGTTGTTTTTGTTACATTCTCTGCTTGTATCTCTATTCCTACTGAACTAAATGTGGCTCCGGATGCCTTTAGAATCCTAAAAGGGAGCTCAGCCTGCTGGAGAAGTGGTGGTTTGGTAAAACATGAGCTCTCTTTTAATGATCTTTATCCTTGTGCAAATATTTATGTAACTCTAGCAGGATGCCTCCATCTGACATGAACTCATTATCCCCACTAAGTCTCATAGTGCTCAAGAGAGAAAATTTGTACCCTATTTCTTCCTTAGTGAGTCAAAGTTAATATTTTCACCAAAAATTGCTATTTTTTTAATCATAGGATATAACTTGCTTATTTGAACTGGATAAAATATTTAGGAAACAAGTAATTCTCAGTGATAAAATATATGTATATATATATATATGTGATGTCTCTGTAGGGAAATTGATAATTCCAGATGAATTTTAATCAAGGATGCTGCAACATTTTGCATTTTATAATCTCTGTTTTTTTCCAGATCTTGTTCCTGGTCAGCAATGGGTGAGTAGTAGATCTTCTGCATCATTTAGTTGTGGTTTCTATGAATAGATGAATAATTCATACTCACACCGTATCCTAAGGAGTCTTGAGGGAGAAGAAAAGAAAATAAACTAACAAAGGAAGAAGAAAAAGGGCCCCCAGGAATTATATGACATTTTTCCCCCAGCAAGTAAGAAAACATCTTTGTCAGAGAAAGATAACGTGCCACATTGGTGATAAGAACTGGCAATTAATAATGCAGAGTGGGAGCTGGCGTGGCACAGCGTGCCAGCAGAAAGTCCGCACAGCTTTTCACTAACTGCCTCCATATCTCCCCTGCCTGATTCCCTAAGGACCGATCGTTTTTGTCAGTTGTGTGTCTGCTGTGCCAAAAGCCTCAGTTGCGAAACTGTGCTCATGTATACTGTAAGGAACACCGTGATTTGCTCCCACTTCTTCACCATGGAGGAATGACAGAGAATAAAATGTCCACCTGTAGCATGGCTATGCATGGAAAACATGATGGACACGAGCGGACCCTTCCTTCCCGTTCAACACTGTCCCACTTGTGCTCTTCCCAGGCCTCCTGCAGTGAGTACCGGCTGTCAGGCAGCGGGAACCTTGCCTGTCCCAGGATCTACCAGCCTGTGTGTGGCACTGATAACGTCACCTATCCCAACGAGTGCTCACTCTGTAGACGAATCCTGTGAGTACGGATCACCCGATTACCCATCATGATGGCTCAGGTGGCAGCCAAAAGTCTTTTGAATTGTGACTAATCACGGGTGGATTTCATTTCTCCTGTTTCTGCCTCCCCAACGTGCAGGCTGTGTCTCTTCCTTGTCAAAACTCCTGAGTCTGATTAATTAGTGGGGCTGGGAGTGGACAGGCTTGATGACTGAGGTGACTCCATGGCACCACCAGGTTAACCCTTCCTCTCCTTCTCTCCTAGCTGGAGTGGGACGGTTGACAAGAAGCACGACGGGAGGTGTGTGAAGGTATGGTCCCAGCTCAGCCACTGTGTAAAGCAACGGCAGAATCCCTTCCCAGCACTAATTATGTGTTCAAAATGTACAGCTCCAAACCCATCGGAAATGTAATAGAAAGGGAGAATTTCAGGTCTTCAAGATACATATATATGTGTGTTAATTTCATTTTGAACAATGCAAATCTGTTTCAGTGGTGAGTTTTGAGATGTCATCTTGTGTAGCACAGCTGACTTCAAAACAGAATCTTTTGATTTCAATAATGCTTTGGTGTTGTTGAAATAGTTCCCCTTAGACTTAAATAGAAGTTTGTTGAAATTAAGAAATTCCCCAAGGAAGTCTGGATTTTGACTAAATCATAATTTTGTCACAGAAAAAAAAGGATTCCATCAGAATATCTACCCTGAGGTTTGTTTATCAATACATGGAGCTACCACGATGTGGAGAAGTGTCTCTATTTTTAGATTAGAGAGATAATGTAAAGAAACACTCCGGCTGTGCAATTTAACATAATGCTACAATTTTCACTTCAGTACACTCAGAGTAATGGCAGGAACACCGAGGTGAGCGTCAGCTCCATTTTCAAGTGGAGCAGACATTTCACAGCAGCACTTGCTGCCATGTAGGGCATGGTAGGCACAGATCCTGTGTGGTGGCATTTGGGGTGGAAAGCCCCAAGATGACACCAACAAAACCCATTTTGTGAACCCTTCCTCTCCAGGATCCTGCTGGACTGATGTCCTCAAAGGTAGAATTTCACTTGTCTGTCTCCCTTGCCCGCACTGTGTTGGGCTGGCAGCTCACATTTCCGTACAGCCCCACTCACCATGAGTCTGGGGATGGGAGATACCTCTCACACCACGCAACATTACACAGATTGAAGTGTTGTTCTGTGGCTGTTTCAGGTTGATTGCACTGGCTACATGAGAGCAACTGGTGGTCTGGGGACAGCCTGCAGCCAGCAATACAACCCGCTCTATGCCACCAATGGGGTCACCTACAGCAACGAGTGCACCTTCTGCTCAGCAGTGGCGTGAGTGCTGGGATCTGGGCTTTGGTGTCTGGGGAGTAGAGGCTTCTGGAGTGACTGTGCTGTGCTGGTTAGTTCTCAACTTGCTTTCTTCCCCAAGGAATGGAGAGGACATAGATCTGCTCACTGCTGGAAAACACCCTGAGGTAAAGCTTGAAAGTCTGCACTATGAACTGTTGTTAAAGTATATTATACAACACAAATTCAATGAGTCAGAACGATGTAATAGCAATGTCTGCACTGTGCTGGTGTATTTGTCCTGGAAGAAGGATTTGATGAAAATAGCTCAAGTATGCCAGAGTCAGGGGACACTGAACAAAACCCCTGGCTCCAGCATCAGCCTCACCTGGACAGCTCCTGATAGGGGTTGACATTGACAGCATAGTTCAGATGGTGTCTGTGCTAGAGGTGCTTGCTTCTCCTGGTGAGTGTGGGGCTCATACAGCATCAGCTGTCATTACTGGGTGGGAAGACTTCATACCGTGCCGTTTGAGACACACTGCTTCTTGGCAGCCGCTCTGCTGGCTGCTGAACCAGAGCAGAGCAAGCAGTGGGCAGCCAGCTGGGGAGCACTGCTTTGGCTATGTCACTGCTTCTGAGAGTAGATTTAAGTAATCTTTCCCTCTGACTTCTCACTCTGTGCTCTGCTGGGCAAGCGCATTAGGATTTGCAGAGTTGCTAGAACAACAGGGGCCTGCACTGAAAAAATGTTTTTTTGCTTTGCCATGACATAAATGTTAAGCACTCATGTAGCAAAACACAGCAAACAAAGGCTTCTCAATATGTTCTTGCTCCATTACCTACAGATTGACTGCAGCGAATTCAAGAGCACCAATCTCTATTGCACTGAAGAGTACATGCCCCTTTGCGGCTCTGACGGCATAACATATGGGAACAAATGCCACTTCTGCATTGCAGTTTTGTAAGTACAGTGCTCCCCATGCAGCCATGAAACCACTGCTGTGCTGCAGTACAAAGGCAGAAGCTGCCAGGGAGCCCTTGTGCTCCCGTTATCCCCTTGGTAAATCTGTCCTCATCCCCAACCTGACCCCAGCACTCCCTCTGCTGTGTCCTCCCCAAACACTGCAGATCTTAAACACAGGTGAGCCTTATCCTCCCCTCATCACTAAATTCAGATTCTCATTTGCAGGCTCATAGCACTCCTTGTGACAGTAATTTGAATGCTAACTATAGGAAATATCCAAAATTACAGGGTTTGTCCCAGATCTCTTTAACATGACAGAACGTGTAACCTGGGGAATCAGGAGAGAGGTGAAGGTGTAACTGGAACAGCACAGGGCATTGCCTTGTCCATGTAAAGTCAGCAGTGTCACCATCAGGGCTATAAAACCACCTTCCATGTCACTGATTTTGGCTTCCTCCTTTGTCTGCAGGAGGAGTCATGGATCTCTGTCTCTCCAGCATCATGGAGAATGCTGAGTGCTGGAGCACAACCTTTACCCTCATTCATCTTTCACTTCCAAAGCCTGCAATTCCAACATGTTCTTCCCTGCTCCCTGTTGTACGCTGCTTTCTGAATTGACCCATCAGTAAATCAAAGCCAGCAACTCTCACTGCTGTGAACTGGTGTGGTTTTTTTATTTATTGTTTTTATTATTTTTTCCAGGGCAGAGGTAAAAGTCTTTAGGCTTTTAGGCACTTATCTGTCAGGCAGGAGAAGTTTTGAAATAAACCACAATAAAGACCAAAGTGCAACGCCCATCACACAAAAGCCTAAGCCCTCACAAAAGTGCGTCACCCCATTCCAAACCATCAGAAGAGGAAACATGTTGCTATAAAATACTGCTGCTCTCCCCAGTTCTGTGTCTTACTACACATAAATGGATTTGTTGTAAGGGTCAGGATGGGGCTTTGTAGAAGCACGGAGCCTTGGAGGAAGCAGTCCTTTTGGGAGCCTTGGCATGGAGGAAACATGGCTTTGATACACCTGGGCAATGGGCAAGTCTGGCAGCATGTTATAAGGAGGCTTATGGCAAAGGGAGGAGGCTATATCTCACAAGGAAGAAAATTAGGAACTGTTGCTTCCTTGAAGGGCGTGTCCCTTGAGAGTGTGGTGATCAGCAGAAAATTGCATCCAGCTGGGCAAGGCTGTAATGAGCCTAATGAGGACCAGAGGAGAAACTAGATTGGGCTCAGGTTTCTTGGAAAAGAGATCTGAAAAGCTGTACTAAGAATGTTTGAGGCAGAGGAAAGAGAAAGGACTCTTCAGGAAAAGGTTTGGGATTCTTCAGGCCTAGGAAAGAAAGGACGGAAGGTGAGCTTGGAAGATCCAAGGTAGTTTCTATCTGCAATGAAAGGTGATGTATGGGTGATGCATGTGAGCACGCACAGTGATGCGCTATCTCTTCGGGTGAGTCAAGGAATGAGTATGCAAACAACAGGCGAAAAGTCCCAAGTGCCTCCACTCATGTCACCTTCTCCTTCTTTTCTCCACCTCCCATTCTCTCATTACGTAGGAAGACATTCAGCTGTTCAGGCTGATAATGAGGACAAAATCTGTGACTTCCAAGTTTTCCTCTGGCTTTATTGCCTGAAATAAACTGTATCTTGACCTAGAAATCTTATGGGTGCTTCCCACCAGAAGATGAAAAGCTGTCCTTTAATAGTGTGTCAGGGCACTGCTCCATCCTGGGAAGGTGGATGGAACTTTGAAATGTTTATTCTATTAGTACAGGCAGTGCAAACCACAGTGTGCTCTGTGCCTGCTGGTGAGAAAAGGTAAGCTGGAGAGCTGTGAGTGTGCTCCCTGCTAATCTGCCTAGAAAGGAAAAAAATAGCCAAGAAATAGCGTAAGCCACTACTGAAAGTGAGCAGAGACCTTTAGTGAAGGACACAGCTCAGCTGTAATGTCTCGTTGGCCAGGAGGTTTGTTGAATTATCACGGAGTTTTGGTCAGAGCAGGAGGGTGCCTTCAGCAATGAGATCCCATGGTAGGCCTCTTCCACAGTGTGCCGGAGCAAGCCTGGTACCTGCTCAGGAGCAAAAAAAGGCTTTGGAAAAGTTCAAAGAAGGGCTGATGTCTTACAGGGAAAGGGAGGGCAAAAGGCAAGTGCAGAGCATGTGGCTGTACAGACAAAAACTCTTCAGAGAATGGAAAAATGTCTTATCAAGTAAGCCCAGAGGTTGGCCCAGTGCAGGTAAATACTTGGCTAGGTAAGAGTGAGGCTCTGCCCAGCCATTCCTCTGTAAGGCAAATCCCAGGTGCCTTTGTCTTGTCCGGTCCCGTTCCATTCCCATTTTTCTGAGAAATCAGAGAGACTGAACTTCACAACCTACAGCAGCAAGCAGCCCGCTTCATAGGTTATAAGAAGTGCAAAGAGGAGTGATAAAGATAATCACCACTTTGCTAATTTAGTCTCTTCCTCCCAGCCCGCAAAGGACTGGTCCCTGTGGTATGTTTTCTAAGGCTTTTCCCAGTCAGCTATGCTGTAGCAAATGAAACGTTTGGATAGCTGTAGAGCTGAGGTATTAGTGCTGGGGCAGCGAGCAGAGTCTGGAGCTAGAAAAGGCAAACACAGAATTCTGCGAGTGGCAGAACTAAGCATGATTTTGAATGGCACTGCGGCTGACGGGCTTGTAAATTATATGAGAAGCTGTGTTGTGAGCTCACCCTAATAGACGTCTGAGAACTCACCTGTCAGTCGCGGTTCCTCTGTTATGTGGGTTTTATGGTGTCTAGTGAGCTGCAAACTCTAATGCTTTCCCAGGTGTAGGGCGGTCATGGCACTGCTCTCCTACAGAAACTCTCACTTGCTAGTTGAGGATGTTTGGGAAATCCTTGTTTGCTAGAAAAATATATTGAAGTGCATTTTTTGTTTGTTTGTTTTCCATTCTTGTGTGACATTTTGTTGGAATAGCAGAATCATAGAGGTTGAAAGTGAAACTGGAAATTATCGAGTTCAACCCCTTGCTAAAGCAGGTTTCATACAGTAGGTTGCAGTTACAAAATTTGCTGGGGAAGTGAATATGAAGATCTGTCTATAAAGAGTGTTCCCATAACACTTGTTTCTTAACAAAATTTCTTGCTGAAATTTTAAAGGCTGTGCCTATCTGAAGAGATATTTAGCAAGTGGTGCAACTAAATGCTACTCTTGGTGGAGAGATGGCTGGAGATGGGCTGATGGTTGGCTGATCTTAGTGGTCTTTTCCAACTTCAACGATCCTTTGATTCTATACTCTTTACACAGAATCAGCTGGAAATAGAGTGAGTCTCCTGATTCCCCACCAAATTCCTGTAATTGCTGCTTGCTGTGGAAATAGAGCCCTAGCATATGTTTGTGAATGTAAAACTGGAAAACATTGACAGCTATAGTTTAAATAGTTCAGGGAGGGGAGGTGGCTGTCCTATGTGGGACTGCACACAGCTATGAGAGCCCCGGTGTGCTTCTCCGCCCCAACCCAACAAATTTAGAACCATCCTCAAAAATAGCCAGAGAACAACGCATAATTGGTTTCACAGACAACACATTCTCATGCTGTGATTTATTTCGTAATGTCTGGTGAGTGTCATCACGCCGTGCTCAAAGCCTTGGAGCTGGCATTCAGCGAGGACCCAGAGAATGAAAATTACCAGCTTCCCCGATGAATCACCACTTTTAAAATTCACCCTTGTGAGAATCCTGTGACTATTCAGAAAAAAAAAAAAAAACCAACACAAAGATATTACAGGCCCAAGTTTATCACTCATGTAATTAGTCCTTTCTAAGTTTGATGTGGACAGGGCGGCATTCCTAAAGCACCATAAACACGGCCAGGACCAATAATGGCTCTAGAAACGAAGTGGAGAAGTTCTCACAATTAAGGTGAGGAATGAGGGCAGCAGCGGATAGGTACATAAATACACAGAGGCAGGGCTACGAGCACGCTGTGGGCTTGTGGCTGTGACAACACCTCCCAAACTGGTCGATTGCCGGGGACTAAAAGAGCAGCATGAAGGCAACAGGCACCTCGGTGCTCCTCAGCCTGCTGCTGCTGCTGTCGTTCTTCTCGGGTAAGTTATATTTCTGTAGCCTAGAAAGAAACTTTATGACAAGAGCAACTTCGGGGAGCCTTGATCACTGGATGACGGGCTTGAAGAGAAAGCTGAGCAAGTAGAAAATATCTGTGGGACTTGCTTGCTCGCGTCACGTATTTCCATTCCTCGTGTGCCTCCGCAGTGAATAACACTGTGGAGGTGTCACTGGGAGACAGAATGAGCAAATTGTAAGCAGCTCGTTCAGCAAATGCACCAAAGCAGAGTGTAATCATGAGTTTTGGTAGAAATGTTTGCTGCAGAGTTTTGCTGAACCAGTTAGAGAAGAAACTCATACCTCAGGGTCATCAGCTCCTGTTTTGATTCTAAGCATTTGGAAGTTGGTGTTTTCCTCAGAGATGTGGCAGCATAATTAGATGAAAGTTTCAGCTTCCAAATATGTTGCAGAGAAAAGCTTGAAAATTAAATTCAAATGTCCTCAAGGAACCAGAACAAAGAGGGCAAATTGAAAGGATCCAGCGTTTATTTATCTTGAGGTTTACACATCTCTCTGTTGGTCTGGGAAGGCTGGCTGATGGTTTAGGATGTGTAGGGCACACGGGCTGTTCGTGTCCAGCTGATCCGAACGTGGAAGCGTTGTGGTGGCCATTATTGAAGACTGCAGATCAAGAACTATTTATACTTGTTTTTCTGTGAATAATTTGAATAAAGAATTCACTTGAGAAAATTGCAGGCTGCGCATGGAGAAAAGAGGTGAATTACTTTGTACACATCATTAATTATGAAATATTCATCTGTCTTTAATTGAGTCTTAATTGGGACTGGGTTCCATCACAGTGCTAAAGCTTCTTTCCAACACCAGGCAGAATAGCAGCAAACTCTGTGATCTCAAATAAAATTAACAGATGCCAAGAGACGTTCTCACAAAGTCTTGTGTAGATGCATGCAATATTTATAAAAATTATCTAATGAGCTATTTTGTAAATAATATGCAGATAGCCCTAATGGCTGCTTCCCCCTTCAGCCTAGCTGAGGATGTGACAGATACACAAATGGCAACGATCAAACACTGAAAGGCATCACAGCAGGCAGAAGCTGAGTGGGGTCATGGATACTGGTCCTGCTGAGTGTGATGCTACAGTGCTCCCAACTTGCACCCTAACCACGAGGGGTGTCCCACTGCAATGTGCCCCAGCTCCTGCAGAACTGTGTGCAGCCCACTCTCTGTCAGACACCATAGGATCCATCCCATGGCTGTGACCTGGCCCCACGCAAAGATTGCAGGCTGGAAATATCAAAGAGGATGGACTGACTGTCTCCAAGCCCAGAGCCTGTGTCTGCAGCAGGTATTTTTGCTCTGTCACTGTCTGGCACTGCCTGTTCTGCCCCAGATCACACCAGGCTATCCCTTTGTATCTCATCCGGATCAGGCTGTTCCGGAAGCCTC